TAAGGGCTGTTGTTTCAATAGTTGTATTAGTTAGTATTAGTCAGCTATTGTTTCAATAGTTGTATTAGTTATACAGTTGATTTTGTATCGTTTATCTATATTTATTTGTTGGTGTGGTGGGATTTTCTCGTCTTTGAATATCGATGATAAAAGAGCATTTGTTATTTGTCGTTTGCGTCTTTACTGAAATGTAGTTTGACGCCTTGAGGTTCATTGAGAGGATGGTAGTGGTCCTCTCGGAATTTGACCAAAAAAATGTGGCTGTTGGAAATTTGGTTGTTGTTGGTATTGTGAGGCCATTGCGTGTGGGGTGTTTTGCGGTGTTGTGATCGGGTGTGAGAAATTTACTGGAAATGATTGTATTGGTTGGGGGTGTTCTGTTTGAATGGTATAGACGCGTCTTGAAGTATCGCGCCTGCCCCCAAAATTGTTCCGTGGAGGATAATAATTCGAAGAACGTTGGTAATTATTGGAATTAGTCCGGGAATTATTTTGGAACGTATTGTTGCCGCGATGATTGTTATTAAATCTTCCGCGATAAGATGTTGAGTTGCCGCGATAAGGTCTATTACCGCGTCCGTTTCTCTCATAGTAATTGTTTCTGTGTGAATTTATAGTCATAATTTGGGGCGTGCTATTCTGTGATGCATTTTCCTGTACTTTTTGTATCGCATCTTTTATGTTATTGAAGGTTCCAGCCTTCAGAATTAATCTTGTTTCGGAATTTACGCTATTTATTAGAGCATCAACTCCATTTTTGGTTGCCATGGCTTGAGATACGCCTTCTGGAATCCCTTGTTGTAGGTAGATGCTTTTTAATTTCATCGTGAGTGCATCGATCTCGTCACAAAGACTGTTAAGTGTCGTTTTTTTGTTTGATATTTTTAATTTTTGCTATTATATTTTCTGGTGTTTGGTGGTCCTTGCACCTCGCTTTGATGTCGTTTATTACATCGTCGATCGTGTTTAGGTTTCCTGGTAAGCCTATTCTGGCTTTACCTGTCAGTCGTGTTTTGAGAAATTTGACTGCAATTGGAATTTGATCAGCAGTTATATAGTCTTTCAGCAGCATGGCTGCATTTTTTTTTTTTTAACTCTTAATTTGTTCCAAATTCAAAATAAATTACATTTCATTTTAACCTAGGTGCTCCAGTTACTGCAGTAACGTACCAGCCTTAATTGTTATCATATATATCTAAGTGTTTTTACATTGTTCATGTCTTGGCAATTCAGTATTTTAAACAGGTTTTTTAAACCTGCATGTCAGTTTAACAATTGATATCTTAAAACTAAAAACTAAAAGTAAATCTTATCTAAGTATAAAGGGAATTAATCGTTGCAATTGAGGATTACAACGATTTTTGCCTGAAGTTATTAATTATTTTGTTGGACATTTGTTCTAAAGTCTCAACATTCGAAATTCTATGTACCTCGGTAGTACTGTACCAGGGAAGCAACTTCAAAATCATTTTCAGAACTTTGTTCTGAATCCTTTGAAGTGCTTTTTTCCTGGTAGTGCAGCAACTAGACCATATTGGCACAGCGTAAAGCATGGCCGGTCTAAAGACTTGTTTAAATATTAGAAGTTTATTCGTTAGGCAAAGTTTGGATTTCCTGTTTATAAGAGGATACAAACATTTTATATATTTGTTACATTTGGCTTGAATGCCCTCAATGTGATCTTTAAAAGTTAATTTTTGGTCAAGTATTAATCCAAGATATTTCACTTGGTTTGACCAGGAAATAGGAACTCCGTTCATAGTGACTATGTGACTATTACTAGGTTTCAAAAAGGAAGCTCTAGGCTTATGTGGAAATATTATAAGTTGAGTTTTGGAAGCGTTGGGAGAAATCTTCCATTTTTGTAAATAAGAAGAGACAATATCTAAACTTTTCTGCAGTCTGCTGCAAATAACACGAAGACTTCTTCGCGCGTGGCTGCATCGATGAAAGAGTCTAGATGGTCTGGGTTCCCATCGTATGGTTACACAATGGCGGTCGCCGTTTTTATGTCGAATGGCATTTTCAATTTTTTTGTTTGATAATTGGTGTACGTACACGGATGATTTGAAAGATAACGTGGGTTTTGAATTTGCTAGTTTTTCTTGCAGTATTAGATATAGTTTGCTGTATAATAATTTTGTTCTTTTGATTGTTTCTTCTAATTTGTCTGTGGGTATTTCACTTTCAATTTCTTGTAATTTTTGTTGTATTTCCTCGTATACTTGCTTCGTAAGTTTAAGTTTACCTTTAATGGTGCTTCTACGATAAATTCTATTCGGAGCTTTTGATAGGTTTGTATACGTTAAATTTAGTTGATCTATTAACGAGTTGATGTTGTCCCTACTTGTCATTTGGCACTCTTAATACTAATTAATAATTACTGATGTGTTACATACGTTTTTGCTTGGTTTTGTTCATTCACATCGCTTTCTGCTGTCGCGCTGCATTACCTCGTTGAGTCATCCCGTTGTCACACTGCATTATCTCGTGTAGTCATGCACTTGTCGCACTGTATTATCTCGTTTTCGTTTGTATAAGGTAGAATTCTGGTGCTCGACACCCGATCCGTTGAATCGGTTCTTTACTCCACACTAGTTCCCGTACATCATCACAAGGAAGTCAAGTTCAAGTTCGCGTTTTGTTGTTTTTCGCTATCGCGATGCATTTTATTTTCGCACTCCCGCTGGTTTCTGTTTTTATTTTAATCGTTTTCCGTCGCGCACCTGTGCAAGCATTGACGTAGCATAACTTTTTGTGGTTCGGTTCACTTGTATCGTTCAATTTGTTCAATTCAATAATTCTTAGTGGGCACTTTTTTTCACACTTCTTTGTGGGCACTTTTTGCTTCGCGCTGGGTTATACCCTGCGGACTGTGGTGGCTTTTTCTACAGCCTTGTCCAGAGTTTTCGTCGTTAATCTTGCGATTACTTTCACGACCGTTACTAATGTTTGAATCGTTAGAAGAACCAGAATTAGGTTCAACTTCCAATTTTGTTGTTCGTGGTAGCCAGTGTGTATTTCCTGGTTTTCCACTATTGTAACGGTTTGATCTCCAACCGTTTTGGAGTTTTCATCTTTTGTTTGTTCGTTGCCCATTTTCGGTTATTACAATTGTTTCAGTGCAATTTTTTTTTCACTGCTGGCTCACTTTAAACTGCTTTTTTAAACTCACTTCACGGTCTGCCATGTAACGTTGGATTTCTATGGCTCGTGATATTTTTGGAGTAAGGGCATGTTGCCGGTTCGAGTAATGAGTTTTGACTGATTTTTATTTGCACCACTTAAGTCTAAGAAACTTAACTCTACATTTCGTACTTAATCGGTAGGAGGTAACCTTTACTAGTCTCCAAACATAATCAACCGATCACGTGACTTCGTCGTAGGTGATGGTGACCAATTACGCGATTCCATTCGCCCGAGTACATAGACGAAGGTTGCCGAAAAGATATGAGGAAAGAATTTGGGTCTGTTGTTTTCCGGGTCGCTGTCGTTGTCGCTGCGCTTATTATTCTGTGCGCGCATTCTGGGTCATAGCGCAAAAGGAAAACATGTGGTTGCAATAATTTGACTGTTTATATATCTGTGCAACAACAAGTGCGGTTGGCACTTTTGTTTGGTTTACAAGTAGCTCGACTTTGTAGGTCTCGAAAATGTCTTCGTCATGAAATTTGAGATTGTAGGTCGGATTCAATTTGGATGATTTATAGTATGCTACAGAACCAAGTACCCAAATCACCTAGCAAGATACACTGACGCATCTCGAACAGGCGGAAGGGTAGGCATTGGGATATCCGATCCGAGTTACGCACCTTCTACCGACTTCCGGACCCTTGCAGCGTTTTCTCTGCTGAAGCTACCGCCATACTAGTAGCCGCCACCCGCCTACCAACAAACCTGTCGCCATATTTTCTGATTCAGCCAGCGTATTAACAGCTCTTCAGTCCGATACAGCCAAGCACCCTTGGATCTAGGCTATCCAGAAGCTCGCTCATAAAGGAACAACTTTCATCTGGATCCCAGGACACTGCGGGATCAGAGGAAATGAGGAAGCTGATCATCTGGCGGCATCCGGAAGACAGGCAAACCTCTATACCCAAAAGGTCCCTGCTCAAGACATCAAGCGGTGGATCGTGACTACAGTATGGAATTGCTGGACAAATGAATCCGGAAAATTAAAGGGGACACCAGAAGATGGGATGATCCGCCTGAACACCGATCTCAAGTAATTCTATCGCGGCTGAGAACCGGTCATACCAAAGCCTCTCATAACATGGGAGGCGGAGGTCCATTTAGGAAGCAATGCGAGACTTGCAATGTGCCACATACAGTGGAACATTTCCTATGCAACTGCCCCCAGTACTATGGACCACGCATCCAATACGGGATCTCAGCAAGCGTCAGGTACACCCTGAGTTATGACCCCTCTGGCACCACAGCGCTCTTCTCCTTTCTGCGGGAGACAGGATTGATCAACCAAATTTGATATATGACCCAAGCAACGACAACGGACAAAGGATTGAACTACTATTGGCAAAAACCACTGACTCAAAACGGACGAGCGACTATATTAAGATGATGCACGAATAAGGACACGAAAACGGACGGATGAAGGCACAAAATTATGCACAGCGACAACAATGGAACTGAACACGGAAAAATACTACACATAAAAGTAAAATCACCACAATAATCGGACACAAGACCACGCGACGACAATGGATTATGACAAGGACCAACTACTAGACACACCGCAAGTTATCTGAATATCTGCCATCAAAACCAACTCCGTTATTATAACTCTGTCCAACACAATTGTACCCTTTACAATCAGGGGGGCCGCTCTCTGAAACCCTCTATCCCTTTTAAAGTGACGAACCAGCCAGTGGCTAAAAATCACTCTAATAAAGAAAAAAAAATTTTGTTTAGTATTTATCAATAAATTTTAATTCAAAATGCGTTCATCTCAATAATTTACATAAAACAGAAAACCAACTTGTAAACGAAAACAGAAAATATATTTATTTAATACATTAGATACAATATGTTCTTCAGACCGTACAGTTTAATCAACTACTCAAAACCGTTTACTGTTGATATACTTTCAAGGGAATGAACTTTTCTTATTACGATCAGCTTTGTTGGAAATTGCGAAGGTTTTATGCTTTTCAATTGTACCAGTCGCTAGCGGCCATGTGCTTAGAATAGAATATCATCATCACCTTCATCGAGAAGGTTAGCTTGATCTCGAACATCGATTCCCTTCTCCAGTAAAGCTGCTTTATGAGCTTCTGCCTTTTTCTTTGCAATTCGTTTTTTGTCCTAAAATAAAAAAGATAATATAAATGTGCGAAATTATCATTATTATTTATTTAAAAAAAAAACGTTTCCTTTTATTTAATACCCCGTACAGACTATGGCTTATATCCACCCCTATTCTGTATTTCGTTTCGAACGAAATTCTCATACAAAAAAATATTTTTTTTTGTATGAGAATTTCGCTCGAAACGAAATACAGAATAGGGGTGATCATGTAATATACGCTGTCTTGCAATGAGCACTCATACTTCTAGTTTTCACTGGAAATCCTATATATGAGTGCTCATTGCAAGACAGCCTAATATTACATGATATAAGCCATAGTCTGAACGTACTATAACACAGCAACATTTTCCATAAAGCCCATTGTTCCCATTGAAAAAAAAAATAAAAAAATATGCCGTTGTTCTTCATTACATGAATCCAAGTTATACCCAGCTACAAAAGCGCTAGCGAATTGTTTGATTTGAAACATTAGAGGTGTGCTAACTTTAAAAAATTGGTGGGGTTGTGCACAAGACACGACCGCATGGTTGACGTAGACTACGTTAAGCTGTGTAGTGAAATTCTCGTGCGTTTTTATAGATATTGATTTAAAATACAGTAGATGTAACCTATGATTTCGGTCCTATGTACATATTTTGGATTTCCTACTTAGGCTGTGAACCATTTGCCGAGTTAAATTTAACTCGTGGTTAAAAGTGACATTTCGAAAGATATTTTCTATGTTCGAAAATCGACCGGTTTTCGAGAAGAACTAAGGCTGTGAATCATTTGCCGAGTTAAATTTAACTCGTGGTTAAAAGTGACATTTCGAAAGTTATTTTCTATTTATTTATTTTATTTATTATTTTATTGAAGAGGTTTTAAATTTTAACAAATTCATTCGCCTCTAATTATTTTCTATGTTCTAATCCCTGTGCTATCAATCGACCAGTTTTTGAGAAGAACTTAGCCAAGGTTGTCTAAATTTAACTTCTTGTCTTTAGAAGTAACCACGCTCGGATAGTAGGGTTAATCGATAACTTTCCATCTGTCAAATTTTAACCAAAAGTTAAAATAATCCACCATATGGTTCAGAGTAAATTCTTGGTTAAATTCAGGACCCCATAAAAATGCGAATACATATTCTATTAAATTTGGTTCCTAAATAACAATCAGATATGAGTAAGGCTTTCTTCAGGTGATTCATTGAGGCGTCCAGCAATGACCGTCATGATGGCTGATATTCTCTAGCACTTCAAGATTTCTAGGGCACAAATCTTGGACGGTTGTAACATCACTCATGAAATTGAAACGCCTTGTGTACTGGACTGCAACAAACGTGAAGTTCCAGTTTCTTTGTTATAAGTTTTGTGAGAGCTGATATCTGTACTCTTGTAATTTTTATGTGGTAATGAGATTGATCAGAAATAAGGTTTCTTCAGCGATTCAACTTCAAAACGCTAAACGGAGTGCACAATTTTGCACCAATGTTATGCAACATTTCAAGAGCAAATTTTCATTATGTCGTAAGTAACATTCGCACCAATCCGAGAAAAATAAAGTTTTGTTTTGATGACCGAAAGGTTATTCCTATTTCCAAGTAAACACATATAATCTCATAGTGATAGCAATGTTTAACATATTTAGCAGGGTTTTAATCATACAAATGCAAATCGCTAGCTTTCATGCTAAAAAATACTGGTTTTTGAGTCAAAAGTTATTATACGTCGTTTGGTGGCCCCTATTGTTACTTAAGTCAAAGTGTATTTACCAGGATATTCGGGAGAATTATCAATTACGTCTCCTTACGTGCAGCCCATTCATCATTTTAGAACTACCGACATCATCTTAGCAACAAACAGTTCGATTTATTCACTTTAAAATAATGAGAAAGCGAAACGACGAACGCACACTTTTCACGGGTTTCTCAGCGCTGTTACTTAAGTCAAACGGCATCTCCATAGAAATTGGGTGACTTAAGTAACATCGAAAACTATTTTGATCGGAAGGTGATTACGTCAAAAAGCAATTTGACTGGCAAATAAATTTAAAAATAGGATTTGATCCTATATTCGGACAGTATATAGTGTAATAGCAGGAGAATCGATTGACACTGATAGCTCGACTTTGTTTACCTTTGTTACATTCGACGTAATGAAAATTTGCTCTTGATTTCATAGTTGATCGGGATATCAATTAGCCATGAATCCCTCAAATAAGTTCTTGGTACATCTTTTATCTACCGATTGAACAAATAAAAAAAAATACTAAGGCTGTGTTCCATTTGGAAAATTTTCACTTAGATTTGACACTTCGAAAATAAATTAAGATGTTCGAAAATCCCTGTTGTTTATCGGCCGATTTTCGAGAAAGCGTCTGTCAAAATTGATTCCTTGTCTGTCAGAAATAAGTCTGCTGGATAAGCAGGTTTATTTGAAAATTTTCCATCTGTCAAATTTAAGTAAACATTCACCAAATGGAACACAGCCTTAATAACTTGAGCACAGAATCATTTCTTGTTGTGTTTGTTGTATTAGATGCGAGATAAAAACTTCTTTTATCGATATGTGTGCTGAAAATACCTGTGCCGAGTGGATTCAAGGAGAAAGTCGACGAAGAGAATCTTGCCAGTGTTACTTAGGACCTAATTCAATGTTTAGATTGAATTATTTTGCTTAGCTGTAGCAATGTAAACAGAAAATCGAAGAAGAGAATCGAACATTACAAGTAGGCCCTTTTGAACGCTCACTTTCGAATTTCAGAACCTAGCACTGAAAAACCTTGACGATACCTCTATTTATGCTAAGAGATAAGCATTGCAAGTCCTACTTGAAGAATTATACAATCGAACGGCTGGCTATGCCTCGCCCCCATCAGCAAAAAAAACTGGGGTTGTATAAACCGTTCTATAGCATAATTTTCCAAGTAGGAGGGACTTTCATAGCTAATCTAAAAGCACAGACAAACAGACATAACACATTGTATATTTCTCACTGTAAAACATCGTCGCTAAAACATTACCGCCATCTGTTGAGTCACTGTGGTGGATAGTACGCTGAACAGATGGCGGTAGTGTGTAAACGTCAAACGCAAGGGAATTGACTATGCGCGCCACAGGTGGTGGTACTACCAACTACGATGCTTTTAAATTGACCGCTAAATGCTTGTTGGATGAACAACTTGCGAGAGTTACGTCTGTTTGTCTGTGCTAAAAGCATAAATAGAGCGTCTGATAATTTCAGTGCTTGGAACAGAAAACTGCAATCTGTGTAGGAACATCTTTCTTATCACATACTGTTCCCGTTTTCTTATGCAAAATAATGAATGTGCGTTCACAAAACGCACAAAATCCTAAAAAACCATATTAAGATTTTTTTTATTCAATCAATAGATTAAAGATGTACCGATAATTAAATGGAGGGAAAAATGTTCTGATCGCGAAATATTGATGATCAATACCGAAATTGTCCAACCCGTTTTGTGTGGTGTGCTGCTGATTTTCAGTGTTGCTCAGTGGGAACTTTCATAAATAACGTAGTAGTTGAGGGAGGAGAGGGATTTCAGAAGTTGGGACCGACCATGTATTAGGTGTATTGCAAAACACGCTCCGAGGGGGAAGGGCTACTTCCAAGGCTGTGTCGCAATGGGCGAGTTAAATTTATCTCGTGGTTAAAAGTGACAGATGAGTTATCGAATAACTCTGCTATACGAGCGTGGTTATTTCAGAGCGACTAGAAGTTAAATTTTGGTAACCGTGGCTGAGCTCTGTTTGAAAACTGATCAATTTCCGGCATTACTGAACATTGAAAATAACTTTCGAAATGTTACGATAAAAAAAAAACTCGGCAATTGGTACACAGCCCACGAAGTATTTCTCGATTACTTTTTCGAAGGAACGTATAAGCTTTTGTAAACAACGCATTTGATCGTCGATTTGGCGTAACTGGCAGCTCACCCACGCATGCTAACACTACCATGAGATATAAGAAATTTTCCCCTACCTGATTTAGTGGTGTTAGTATGTGGGGTGAGCTATTAGTTATGCCAAACCGACGATAAAATGCGTTGTTTACAGAAGCTGATATGTCCTTTCGAAAAGTAATCGAGATTTGTAGTTTTCATTCAGCCAAGCAGCGCTTGCTCCATCGAGGCGACGTTGCTACCAGCAGCCAGTGATCTCGACGGGAACGACGCGCAAAGTTCGAGGTGCAAAACACTTGACAAGAACCGCCTTCCTACTGCTGCTTCTACCTGCTTACCCGCCGTCCAAAGCGAAAATGAGTTGAGGCACATCAGCAGCGCTGTTTTATAGCTTTTCAGATTCAAGCAGCACGACGTGCAACCAAATTGTACTTGATTATGAGGACTGGGTTTGGGGAGAACGTTTATTTCATGATAAAATTATCACTTTTTATTTGTCCATTTTTATTAAAACAGCATTTTATGAAAACTTGAAAAAAGCGTTTATTGCAACAGCTTACGAAAGGTATTTCCTATCGATTGGTGTATTTGGATTTTCGTTTCATCTATAAATGACAAAGTTATAAGCGTTCAAAATCTTACACCTTTTCGTGGCGGTCGCAATTTTAGATTTTCGATTTACCCCCAGTACCTTCCCGTAAGACGAAGTCAACGTAAAAAAAAACACGATGTCACTCGGCCCTCCAACAACTCGCCAGCGTGTTTGTGCGCAACTGGATCTAAGCGGCCATGTATTCAAAACGAATTTGATGAAAAAATTACTCTCCCTTCCCCTTTCGCCACGTGTTTCCTATACATAATACATTACTTGTCACATAAACTTATACCCCGTACAGACTATGGCTTATAACATGTAATATAGGCTGTCTTGCAATGAGCACTCATACATCTAGTTTTCACTATTAAACCTATGTATTAGTGCTCATTGCAAGACAGCCTACATTACATGATGCTCGCCCACGCATGCTAACACTACCACAAGGTAAATTTTCCCCTACCTGATAGTGGTGTTAGTATGCGTGTGCGGGCTACCAGTT